TCCAATCAAAATCTTTGGCATGGAACGGGCATAAATATTTCAATTGCAACCATAATCACTAATAATTCTTCTCTACCATGCAAACCTATAAACAAACACATAAATCTCATTAAAATCAAAACTAAAACCAAAACCAAACTAACAATAGAGAAAGAGAATCACACAGAAAAAAATAAAATAAAAAAATAAATAAATTTATAGAGTGGAAGAATGTTACCTCCAATAACTTAAATCTCATCTAACCCAATCCGTTAGCTCTTCTGCCAGTGGCCGCGAAGTTTAGAAGTTAGGATGACTAATCAGATTATTCTTTAAATAAGACTTGAAAATTGATTAATTTTTCTCATTAAGTGATTTAAAATTTTGATATATATACATCAAAAAATAGATAATTATATTACTAAATCATAATTATCTTGAAGTAATTTAATATTTTGTCTTATGATATACATGAAATTTACAAGTAAACTTTTATATTTATAACTTTTTATCTTGCAATATACATGTACATTGGAAGATAAAATATTTAATTTATTTGTGCTTTCTAATTGTTTTTAATTATTATTATTTAGATAAGTTATGATGTGTGTTAGATATATGATAGATATGTGAGTTTTATTGATTTAAAGTATAATGATGGGAGATATTTTCAAATTATATTTGTTTAGATAAACTTTAAAGATTTTTAAGACTTAAAATTGGATATTGAGATGCAAAAAAAAAAAAAAAAAAAAAAAAAAAAAAATTAACTGAATAAATCAAAATCAAATTTATTAATTTTATCTATTTGTATATCTGATTTTTAGTTTTTTTTATTATTATGTTATAATACAATATATAAGATATAGATATATATCTACAACTTTTATGAAAAATATTATTTGATTTTTTGGGGAAGAGAGTGTTATTAAATAAATAAATCAGTCAATAGTTTTTTTTAATCTATTTTGTAAATTAAAAATCAATAATTTTGGAAAATTGATTAATTTTTCCCATTAAATAATTTAAAATTTTGATAGATATATATAAAAAAATAGATAATTATATTACTAAATCATAATTCAAATTTAGATGTTGTTATATGTTTTTGAGTTCCATAGCTAAATTCTTATCTTCTTTATTTTTGTGTGTGACCGTAGTGCATAGAAAAAATTAAAAAAGGTGCTGCAGCAATTATGAGAGAAGTCAAAAAGATTTATAGGTTAGAAGAAGTCAATAAATACTGAGATTTTTTTTTAAGATAGATATATATAAAAAAATAGATAATTATATTACTAAATCATAATTCAAATTTAGATGTTGTTATATCTTTTTGAGTTCCATAGCTAAATTCTTATCTTCTTTATTTTTGTGTGTAACCGTAGTGCATAGAAAAAATTAAAAAAGGTGCTACAGTAATTATGAGAGAAGTCAAAAAGATTTATAGGTTAGAAGAAGTCAATAAATGCTGAGATTTTTTTTTAAATTAAAAAATAATAAAATTAAAATTAAAATATTAGAGTTCCCATAAAACGTGTAGATTAGAAATCATTTCTTCCTTATATAATATATCAAAAATGCTAGAGACCCCAAAAATTCTACCAAAAGTTTTACCAAATGTCTCACATGGGTGTGGGACCCACATGGGACCCACATTGTGTGGGTCCCACACCCATGTGAGACATTTGGTAAAACTTTTAGTAGAATATTTGGGATCTCTAGCATTACTCATAATATATAGATAAGTATCACTAAACGTCATTAATATCTCATTAATGTAATTGTGTTAATAAATAAAGTACGATAAGAAAAAATAGTTATTGAGTTTTGTTACGCAAAAGATTGAGCTCCACAGGTAGGTTTCATGCGGGTGAGACCCACATTTTTTTTTATCTTGTCTATGAGTACTTGAGTTTTCTCATAGTTATTATAACATCATATGGCAAAAAAAACTTAGTCTGCATTTGGTTGTGTTTTGTAAATGTAATTTGAGAGTATGAGTTTTATTTTGAGTTTGTGTGTTGTAAAATTATGATTTGAATGTAGAAAATTTGGTAAAGAGTTTTGAAAATAGTTTTGGAAAAGAGGTTTGATTTGAGTGGAGAATTGTTAATGTGACATTTGATATGTGATATAAAAATTTACAACTCATAACTAAACATACAACTCAAAATTATTTTAAAACACATAAAAAATTTAAAAAAATTCAGAAAATATTTTTCCCGAGTATGTAAATCAATTGCCAAAAAAAAAAAATCTGGAATTCAGAGGACATCCGGGTGGACGTCCCCAAGGACATCCGAGTGGACATCTGGGTGGTCTTCCGGGTGGACTTCCTCAGGCAAAATTTTGACAAAAAACGCGGCCCGTGCATCAAAGTTCTCTGCAGAGAGTGGAAAATTGATTTCAAAACCATAACCAAACATCATACTCAAACACACGCGTAAAAAATTGATTACAAATCACAACCAAACAAAGCCTTAATGATACATCTCCTAATTTTGAAATTGTAATTGAACTTTATTGATATGGTAGGAAATAAAATAAAATAAAAAATCAAAACATCACCATCACTGTGGGGTCCACTAGAAATGGCAATGGGCTAGAGTGGGGGCGGAGATTACACTCCTCGTCCCTAATCTCCAAAGCTAAAAAAATCCCCGTCCCCATCCCTGCCCCCGCCCCCGCTCCCGCTCCGATCCAGAGCGGGAAATCCATCACCCCGCTCCCGCCTCCGCCCCCACCTCCGCCTCCACCCCCTAATGGGGATCGGGTCTCTCTAACTCTGAAAAATTCCATACTTTTTTTTTTTTTGAATTTTGCATATTCTATTTTTTTTTACTTTTTAGACAAATAAAAATAATATATATAAGAGTATAATACGACAATGTCCAAACATAAACATCCAAACAAATAAGCTACATAACAGCATAAGATAGAGCTAAGACCTGTAACAAAAGTCACTTTGTGTAATCTCACACACTTAAGCCACACATGAGCACTCAATCTCACCAAAGATTTATAGGTAACTGAGCACAAAAGAAAATATAGGAGAATTAACACAAAAAAAAACACTCAAACAATATACAACTCTCATCTCCTAACCCACAACCAATAAATCCCTCACAATTACTACTAGCTCTATAACCTACAAGCAAAACAGTTAGATCATACCAACAAAAGACTTGTAAATTTTACAAAGTAGCATGCACAACCAACATTATTAGCTAAGTAAACTTATAGAATCAATAGGCATCTGTCAAAGATATTCCATGGATCCATTCCCTCAAAAAAATCCATGCAACATAATATATCAAATGTCAAAACAAAAACAAAAAAAAAAAAAAAAAAAAAAAAAAAAATCAAATTAGTATCATTAGTCTATTGCAACATCCAACAATAGTTGTTCAAATAAAACATATAACATCAATATTACAATAATAAAACAACATTGTTTCTCAAAAAATCTAATATAACCATAACTGCCATTGTCTCCTTCAACTTGAATTCCTGTTAAATAACAAAAGGAAAAAAAATTAATATTAATAATAAGATGTAAAAAATGTTAACAATTAAAACAAAAAAGATGGCAACTAACACAAAAGTGCCACACAACTCATTCAAGTCAATCTCATCATCATCATATATAGTCGCATAGCCGACTGATTCCAATATTGACTCTCTTAAAAAGTAAAGGATATAAATTAAGTATTGAAATTATTTTATGGTAATATAAAATTGAAATAATAATATTGTCACGACCCAAACCCGGCCCTATGGGTTTAGCACCGTAACCGGCCAGTAATCCGAGATTACCGAAGGCCTGCAGATACAGTAATGCAGTAAAACAGAGTACAGGGCCTGGCGGAAGCCAATACAGTAATTAAACAATGTCCAATGAGCTGTGACAGTCTGTATGCATACAGGTAGCATGCCACCTCCAAGGACATAGCTTGGGAGGCTAGAGGCGGACATACTTTTGTCGTTTTACTTTTTGATGTATTACATGTAAATTCAAACCAAGGGCTTAATGTGTATGAGTTAGTACTCTTTTGTTGTAACCAAGTGTTAGCTTGGAAAGCTGTAAGCCCATAGGGCATTTGCTTTTGTTGTTAACATGTAATACTTATTGTAATCAAACTCTGATAAATGAATGAATGTGGAACGTTTGGATATCAATGCATGTCTCGTTTAATGGGTTTAATGTTATTATTTTGAGGGCGTTACATGATTCTTGGGGACACACGTCCTTACTTTATTTGGCCACTTGGTACCCTTTGTTGCCAAGGAAAAACATATAAATATGACCCATTTCCCTAGGTCCAAGAGGAGGATTTTCAAAAAACTTGGAGAGATACTGCCTATTTTGTGCACTATCATTCTCTTTTTCTTGAGCCACTAGCTCCACCTTCACCTAATTGCTCATTCTCCAACTTCCCTAGAGTTTTGTTGACTCATTCTCCAACCATTCCATCTTTGTTGGACTATTAACATTGTTTTGCCTCTCTAATCACTTTCTAATCATTGTTTACCTCAAACCCCCCTACACTTAATCATTTTTTTTCTTTTCTTTCCTAAGTTACCACACATAGTGTACTGTGGCCAACATCTGCTTGGTTAAATGGAATAACCTTTAACCAAAATGGTAAATCAAATTTTAGTGATTGATTCATTGTGTCAACAATTTCAATTGAAAAAGAACAAGGTTGGGGTCTAATCTTCCCTAATTGTGCATATGAGGTATAGGTTCAAGTCTCATCACTACGCAATGCAAGTTCCACTTCTCTTACTGGAGGAACTACATGCAGGTGAGAGAAAGAGAAAAAAACTACCAACACATGGAGGGGCGCAACAACAGCCTTTCATTAGCACCTCACCACAGACATACGTGAACTCTCCATTTGTTTGTGATTTTTTTTCCCTTTCTCCCACTTGCATATAGTTCCCCTTCTCTTATTCCCCTCCAATCAATTGTTAAAATAATAATAATAATAATAAACCATAAGCATTGCAAGCTGATATTGTAAAACTCAAGCTGTAAAATAACTAAATGAGGAAAGTATACAAAAGCAGGTATATTCACATGAAAATGTACTGAACTAAATGACGCTACATATTAGAAATCTAGTGCAACTTTTGAAGCATTTTAAGGAAGCTAAAATTGGGAAGGCCAAAATAAACAAATAGAGCAGAAAAATATCTAAAAAGCAATATTGAAATGATATTCATCAGGCAGGATCACTTCACAGTAAATTTTTTATTGGGATTGAAGTAGCACCCTACATCGGTATTCTCCCAAAGCCCAAATTGGGAAAATGTTTCTGTATGCAGCATAAGTGATCATGCAGTTTTTGTTGAAGACCCCCATGATCTCCTGTAAGGTCACAAAGTAAAAATATAACTATGAAAATTCAAAGTGAAAAATTCATCATTAAGTTGGCCTTTTTTTTTATTTTTTAGTTTTTTATTTTTTATTATGAATTATTTTATTATTATTATTATTATTTGGGATAGGGTGTACTTGTACGTTGCAGGAAGTAAAAAAAGTTCCATTCTAAAAGCATCTACTGATTCGCTAGAACTTGTTGCTGAAAATGCAGTCATCACCACTTACATGATGCAAAAAATTGAAAACATCATTTCACATTTTTTTTTGATCGGCAAAATGAAACTTTATTGATGAAAAAAACAAGTACAAGGAAACAAGCTAAATACATCAATAAAGGGCATGGGAGTGCAACGCATCACAATGAACTAATTGATCCCAACTAGGTTGGCACCAAAAAGATCATCCTATCATTTGAAAACATCATTTCACATAATAATAAGAACAAATGAAGCATGCTCAAAAGTCGTCAGATACATACATTGAAATATATTTGATTTACAATCAATATACATACGACAAGTATTTTGTATTCCAAACATGAAAGGTATACAAAACATTTAGGCATGAACTATTACAACTCAGATCAATATTTCAGAATGCCAGCAGTAGCCAGCATAAACCAACTTAACAATGAAAGCTTCTATTCAAGCAACTATAATATAAACAATATACAGCTCAAATCATTGGAACATGGAGATCACCCCAACCTATATTTTGTTTGAATTTCCCGGATAATCGTATTGCTCAACAGGTTTGAGCCATAAATATTCCAAGATTTCAGACCAAGAACTGTTGAAGGTTGAAAATCATTGAGTTTTCAATGTATTGAAGAAAACACTTCACTACAGGGAGAATACCGAGTCTTAATGTTTCCATTTCACAAAGATGTTGTCTAGTGCTTAGTAATAGTTACATAAAGAGAAGAAAAGTAAGTTTTTCTGAGCAGCTTTTCCAAGAAGTTGCATTTCATTATATGTAGATATATTTATTTAATATATTTTTCCACAAAATTTCAACTTCGTGATCTTATAATGAATAAATTTCCAGTTGAAGTGACAAGAATTAGAAGGTTCGAGCATGGTTATTAGAATTCTGATCCAGATCATAAGACCTTACGATTCTACAATTTTAGTTGGGCCAAACGATCTGGATCACACTACGATCTTAAATTTAGGATCTTAAAATTACTACGATCCTATTCATAAAATCATGTAGAATCGAATACGATCCCGATTCTACTCCGATCCTGATCCCAACAATTTTTTTTTGTTATTATTTATTTCTTATATATATATACATATATATATATGTATATGTGTATTTCTATATAAAAAGTTTGACTATAAACACGTTTTTCAAACATCTATTCTAACTGATGTTAACATAAAAGATACATTATATCAAATTTATCATTTTTCTTTAATCTTTTTTAAATTACGTAACATATATTATCATTAATGATAATTTTTCATTTTGTTTTACATTAAAAGTATAATCTTACGATTCTCGATCTGATTCTACAATCCGATTCACGAATCCCTTCCAATGATCCCATGTAGGATCCCGATTTTAACAACCTTGGGTTCAAGTTTAAAATCTTTTTTCAGTTCATGCAAATTGCAAATAACATAATAGCATCACATAGAATTTGACAGTTCACAAAAAAAGATAGATCAATTTCAAGAAAGTCATGCAACTGGTTCTGCCCTTTATTTCCGAGGCGAATGTACTACAAATAGGTGCTCATCATAGCAGGTTAGATAAATTTAACTTCGATCAAGTGTGATAGGCAGAAAGTTATGTAGAATTACCTCCTGTGGAAAATCTCCATTCTCCATTTGAGAATTTATTAACAATCTTGCTGCACGGTGCAATGGTGTTGGGTCTCTGTCGGCCTGGCCAAAAATACAAAGAAATATTAGGAAAATATAATTTCAAATAGTAAAACCTATAAATACATATTTATTGTAGCATCAAAATACATGATTCATCACAAAAAATTTAATCTAACATATTACACTATGTTAAAATGGACTGTTCCAAATTTGCAGTATGTGTTACACTAAGAAGCTCGTACATTTCTAAAAAAACTGATTTGTCCGTGTCGAAAACCGACACTCTAAGAAGCACAAAAATGTCTAAGGTAGTGTGTCGGTGTTGAACATCAATACTAATCAAACATTTCCCGACCAGTGTTGAACACTCGTCCAAACATGTGATTACTTTTTTAAAAAAATTTAAGACCGGGATAAGTTTCGGACACTTGGATAACATGTGTCCATCGCTTAGTCACTGACAAAACATATTTTTATTTATTTATTTTTAATCAAATAATGGGATACAATAATAAATAAAATAAAATAACAATGTAGATTTATACATATTAATGCCTTCACGTTTGAACTTTAGGAATTAGTGTAATGTTGAATTATTGGAGTCAGGTGGAAATAATACCACAGCAAGAAGGTAGTAAAAAGGTATTATGACAAAGTATCAGCAATGTTCTCAAGGGTAAGCTAACCTAAGAGTAACAGCTCATCACCTAAATTAAGGAATGTGTATGTAGGTGTCTATATTAACACAAAATTTAGCAATGCACGTAGGTGGGTAATTTATCTAGATAGCAAAAGGATATCATTCAGTGTTAAAGTTGAAGACATCCCTTCACAAAGGACTTGTAAGTAAAGCCACTTGATGCAATTACATTCAAGACGTATGAGACTAAAGCACTGAAAAAAATGAAACAACTAACATCTAATAAATTAATTAAATAAACTGAAATTAGGCTTACACCTTAGAGACAACAAACAATGCAATAACATTAACAGAAGTACTGCAGAGAAACATTTTGTGTACCTGGCCAGCATCAATGAGAGCCAGCATAGCCCATCCAGTATTTACTATATGAAACTTGTTGCCCTCCAGATTTGAATACACCTGCACAGAAAGCATTAAATGAATTGTTGTTAGTCAAAACAATGAATATTAGTCTGGGACCAGTGACCCACTGTACGCTCCAGAGTGAGTGTATTAAGTACAGTGCTAACTTCTCTTAATCAGTAATATGAAATTATTTGCATTCAGTATCTCTCAATTGACATTAGCAGCAAATAAAGTAATCACAGTGGACCGGTTCCTATCGTCTGAAACATAAAATTAACATATTTGCATTATAATGTCATAATTGTGATACACAGTTTGTAGACTAGGAGAAGTGGCTCTATGATCCCAGGGGAAAAATTCCAACAAAATTATCTTCCACATTTCATTATCATAAATTACTGGTTCATTACACCCATGAATAATGTTAATAGGGAAATAGCTGTAGAGTGTGCCGTGTTCAGAATTTTCAATCATCAAAATTTAGCAGACTTTGTAACCTGAGATATGCACAGATGAAAGTTCAAGAAAGCTGTATATGATTATATGGTTTCCTCTACACAAATTCCACTTTCCTATTATGTTCTATCTGGGGCCAAACATGTTTTCAGTCAAACATAATTTCAGTCAAACATATCCCAACATGTTTTCCATCACATTTTACTTATTAATTTTGCTCCCCACAAAAGAACACATCACGTCATCTCAGTGGGGCAGTCATTGGCCTTCATTGAGAATGGCTAGATCATCATAATTGTTTTCTTTCATCTAGCTCCATCTGGTGCTACCTCCAAATTCTCAAGGTTGTGTTTGTTCACAATTTAGGTTCTTTTATAAAAGAGTTGTTCTTTAAATGTGTGATATTTGGTTCCCAGAAGAAGGGGGGAAAAAAATAGTGGTTAATGGTTATATTATGTCTCTCCAAGAAATGGCGAGGTCAACTCTTTTTGCCATTGTGATAACTCTCTTTCAGCCTCTTCAATGTTTATGCTACAACTGTCACAAAGGCTGCAAAACTACTCCATCTATCCCTCCAGAAATCTGCAGCGAACATCCTACCAGTCCCCTCTCCCACTCTGCCGAACCAAAAAGGACTCTTGAGTACCTTCTCAATTGCTGGGAATGATATAGCCTAGAAATGAAAATAGTCGCTCCTCAGTGTCTCACCCACCAAACTTCAATACTTACTTCTAACTTTGACTCAATGACAATTTTCTATATCCATCCTATCATGGTTCCAAATACCATAACCTTGTTATTCAACTCCTTTGTTTGGAGCATTGACCTAAAATTTGAATTAATCAGTTCAACAATCATCAGTGGGAAGAACACACTACGAATCTACAATGAGTAATTATTCAATTAGTCAAGATTTGACTGAAGAGAATCTAGACTGAATTCCTTAAGCACAAGCAAGATATTTGCGACAATGAGAGATTGAGTTCACAATTGGCCAAACTATACCATATTGATCATGGGATCAATTAATGTTGACTATGAAGCATAGACACCTCTTTGGAGGTCATGTACCGATGTTCAACACATGTCGCACTTGGATGTGTGCCGGGCACGCTAGAGGAATCGGACACGTTGAGACACACTAGGGATACGGGCGGACATGTTGGGGACACATATTGTCTCATTTTATATATATATATTTAGAGTAGCATACCTAAGGTTGATAAATTTGAAGAGAAAAAAAATACGTATTAAAAACATGACACAATAAATATATAAAATTATATATTTTGTACATATCCCACACGTGTCGTCTCTTGCATTTTTTGGAAAATTATGTGTCCGTGTGTCCATGCCTCTTAAGATGTCAACAACGAACTTCAGGTGAAAAACTAACAAGATAACTAGTTAGACATTGTTATCAAGTATCAAATATCATTGAAAAATCCCAATATTTTTAAAGTTTCTTTTAATATGAACAGTAGTAGTGTGAAGTCCATTCCCTGACAGTTGTCCTCGATAAACAAGGGTGTTGGGAGGGGCAGATTGAATATAGATCTAGTCTCCAGAAAATACGCACACAAAGTGACTTCTCTCAAACTCGAACCATCATTCTCACACTTGGCAGCTTATGCATTTTATTGCTGCACTAAGCAATTATTAGTATTAAAGAAGCCACATATTGCTTCAAATATCAGTGTTTCTGTGACTATCCCAATACTAAGAATTTGTTAACACTGTTATTATATCAGTGGATTTTGCATTCAACATGGAATAATTAACTCCCAACTTTTAGTTTTCAAAATAGTGGTTGTGAAATAGTGCGGTGGCAAGCGTTATCCATCCCCAGACTTATGGCATGGTTCAAGTTACAAGAATCAGTATTTCCACAAAAAAGTAGGAGTCAAGTTGTCTACTTGCCTCTACTAAACCCTGCTATATGCAGAAGCCTTGTGCACTATGTTCTAGGCATAACCCTAGAACCTTATAGCATGGTTCAAGTCACAAGAATCAGTCTGCCACAAAAAAGGCTAAGGTTGTCTACCTAAGCAGAAGCCTTGTGCATCAGGTTCTAGGCATGGCCTGTTTAGTTTTCAAAATGAAACACCCAACCAAGACTATGCTTTGAGTTTGTTGTGCACACGAAAGCATTACCTTGTTTGAGGAGAGAGACGAAAGGGTATCCACACCGAGTACTTATGATGGGGTCCAAGAACAAAAGAGAATGGGTATGTTTGGTTTGTGTTTGAGAGATGTGTTTTAGAGATAAAAAGTACGAAAAGTTGTTTGGTTTGGTTTTTTTCAAAAGATGTTTTGGAAAATTATTTTGAGAGAGGGTTTTGAAAAAAGTGATTGATTTGATGTGTGTGAGAGAGAGATTTGTTTGGAAAACTTGTTTGGTTTACAAGTTTTGAGAAATTTTTTTGGGAAAATTTGTTTGGTTTGATTACTTTTGAAAACTTATTTGTAGAGATTTTTTTCCAAAAATTTTTGGGAAACACAAACCAAACAAGGCCTTAGTGTTTAATAGTCATTGATGCGCACACTTGTGTCAACTTTTGGGACTTCTTTATTGATTAGTCCTCTTAGTAATATAAAGGTTCTAAAACGTTCTGATTGGCTAAATTATTTTTATGCTTTTCTTATAAAACAGGGTGAGCATTCACCTACTGTAGAGGCTGAGAGTGCTCTTCACCAGTGCATTTCTGCTTTTAAGGAGGTACACACAATTAGATTCATGAAATATTATCATCTGAAATCAATTTCAAATTACATGTTCTGTTAAAAATGTTTGGAAAGCAGTGAATGACAGCACATAGTGGAATTCATAGTTTTCTGCAATTTTGTCAAATTTTCTTTCATTATTTATTTATTCATTTATTTTTATTTTTGTTGTTGTTTGCATTTCTTTTATACGTTATGACATTGTGAATGGTTATTCAAAATATGTGAGCGGGTGTTCAAATTCTGAGGAGTTGATTGGTTAACATATATGTTACCTACATATATACAAAGAGAGACAAAGTTAAGGTATTCGATTGGATACCATTCAACACCTATCGTCGCCCCTACTCTAAAACATATAATATCTTCGTCCAAAACACAACCTCATATGCCAGAGTCCCATACCCTTTACGACATCCTGCAACCATGATTTCCGACGATCACCACTGTGCTTCACAACCATGTTTTCTGGTGACCGCCACCATAAACACATTAGCCACTCCACCATTCATCATTTGCGTTACCTCTCTCTCTCTCTCTCTCTCTCGCTAAACAGTGTAAGTATTGAATCTGAAAAATCCTTTAGCCATAGTCACAACACATCCCATGCCTCGATCGAAGTGTTATACAGTGTATGTAAAAGTGATCGATTTTATCTATGGGCTATGTGGAATTTCATTGAAAAGTTGCAATCAGAGACTTCTTTCTCTCCCTCTCCGAACTGTTTATGTCTGCATGAGACTATCTCCCTCTTTTCCATTTTAAGTTGCTCATGACCAAGCTGATGATTGCAACAATGTGATGATAGGTTTGGTTTTGTTAGTTTGTAGCTGGGAATTGTCCTTTGGGCATGAAAGGAGATTGGTCAGTTACGTCAAATGGTGTGTTAGAATATAATATGTAAAATGTTGCTTTAATAATTAGGTTAGTATAATAATTAGTATGCTTTAATAATGTACCTTTAATAATGTTGTTTGGTTTGTGCTTCTACTTTCGGTTTGTAATTGTTCTCCCTCTCCTCTATAAAGGAGAGAGCTCAACACACCACACAATACA